CATCCCTCCTCTCTCCCTGCACCCGTTCCCGCCGCCCTCCCCCAAGGTTTGCCTGCAGGTGCCTGAGCGGAGCCCTTCGGTGCCCAAAGATGCTGAGCGGCATTTGGGTCCTCAGCGTGTTCACTGTGGCCGGGATCTTACAGACTGAGAGTCGTAAAACTGCCAAAGACATTTGCAAGATCCGCTGCCTGTGCGAAGAGAAGGAGAACGTTCTGAACATTAACTGTGAAAACAAAGGGTTTACCACCGTCAGCCTGCTCCAGCCCCCCCAGTCCCGAATCTACCAGCTCTTCCTCAATGGCAATCTCCTGACCCGACTCTACCCCAATGAGTTTGTCAACTACTCCAATGCCGTGACGCTCCACCTGGGGAACAACGGGCTGCAAGAGATCCGCACCGGCGCCTTCGGGGGCCTCAAAACCCTCAAGAGACTGCACCTCAACAACAACAAGCTCGAGGTGCTCAGGGAGGACAGCTTCCTGGGCCTGGAGAGCCTGGAGTACCTCCAGGCGGACTACAACTACATCAGCACCATCGAGGCGGGGGCCTTCAGCAAGCTCAACAAGCTTAAAGTGCTGATCCTGAACGACAACCTCCTGCTCTCTCTGCCCAGCAATGTCTTCCGCTTTGTCCTGCTGACCCACTTAGACCTAAGAGGGAACAGGCTGAAAGTCATGCCGTTCGCTGGCGTCCTGGAACACATCGGAGGCATCATGGAGATTCAGCTGGAAGAAAACCCCTGGAACTGTACCTGTGACCTGCTCCCCCTCAAGGCCTGGCTGGACACCATCACCGTTTTCGTGGGGGAGATTGTCTGCGAGACGCCCTTTCGCTTGCACGGGAAAGATGTGACCCAACTGACCAGGCAAGACCTCTGTCCCAGGAAAAGTGCCGGTGACGCCACGCAGAGGGGCAGCCACGGGGACACCCATGTCCAAAGGCTGTCCCCTACTCTGAATCCTGCTCTCAACCCGACCAGGACTCCAAAAGCCAGCCGACCACCCAAGATGAGAAACCGTCCGACTCCTCGGGTCACGGTGCCAAAGGATAGGCAGAGCTTTGGCCCCATCATGGTGTACCAGACCAAGTCCCCTGTGCCCCTCACCTGTCCCAGCAGCTGTGTCTGCACCTCGCAGAGCTCAGACAATGGTCTCAACGTCAACTGCCAAGAAAGGAAGTTCACCAACATCTCCGACTTGCAGCCCAAACCTACCAGTCCAAAGAAACTCTACCTAACAGGGAACTATCTGCAAACTGTCTATAAGAATGACCTCTTAGAGTACAGTTCTTTGGATTTGTTGCATTTAGGAAACAACCGGATTGCGGTCATTCAGGAAGGTGCCTTCAGGAACCTGACCAGCTTGCGCAGACTGTATCTGAATGGCAATTACCTGGAAGTGCTGTATCCGGCCATGTTCGATGGTCTGCAGAGCTTGCAGTATCTCTACTTAGAGTATAATGTCATTAAGGAAATCAAGCCGCTTACTTTTGATGCATTGATTAACTTACAGCTCCTGTTTCTCAATAACAACCTGCTCCGATCCCTGCCGGACAATATCTTTGGGGGCACAGCCCTCACCAGGCTGAACCTGAGGAACAACCACTTCTCCCACCTGCCTGTCAAAGGGGTTCTCGATCAGCTCCCTGCTTTCATTCAGATCGATCTGCAAGAGAACCCATGGGACTGTACCTGTGACATCATGGGATTAAAGGATTGGACAGAGCACGCCAGTTCCCCGGTCATCATCAATGAGGTGACCTGTGAATCTCCTGCGAAGCACGCTGGGGAGATCCTGAAGTTTCTGGGGAGAGAGGTGATCTGTCCAGATAATCCCAGTTTCGCAGATGGCGCCATTCTGTCGATGAATCATCACACGGACCCGCCTCACTCCCTGAGCGCATCCCCCAGTTCCCATCCGGAGCTGCACACGGAAGTGCCCCTCTCTGTCTTAATTTTAGGATTGCTAGTTGTCTTCATCTTGTCCGTCTGTTTTGGAGCCGGCCTCTTCGTCTTCGTCTTGAAACGCCGAAAGGGGGTGCCAAGTGTTCCCAGGAGCGCCAACAACTTAGACGTCAGTTCCTTCCAATTACAATATGGGTCCTACAACACCGAAGCCCATGACAAGACAGATGGTCACGTCTATAACTACATCCCCCCACCTGTGGGGCAGATGTGCCAAAACCCCATCTACATGCAGAAGGAAGGGGACCCTGTGGCCTATTACCGCAACCTGCAAGAATTCAGCTATGGCAACCTGGAGGAGAAAAAAGAGGAGCCAGCTGCCCTGGCTTACACAATAAGTGCCACCGAGTTGCTGGAAAAGCAAGCCACCCCGAGAGAGCCCGAGTTGCTCTATCAGAATATTGCCGAGCGTGTCAAAGAGCTCCCCAGCAGCAGCCTGGTCCACTACAACTTTTGTACCTTACCGAAAAGGCAGTTCACCCCTTCCTATGAGTCTCGACGCCAAAACCAAGACAGAATCAATAAGACCGTTTTGTATGGAACTCCCAGGAAATGTTTTGTGGGCCAGTCAAAACCCGATCACCCTTTACTGCAAGCCAAGCCGCAATCGGAACCAGACTACCTCGAAGTTCTGGAGAAACGTACTGCCATCAGTCAGCTGTGAAGGGAACTCTTGGACCAGCCTCCAGCATCCCAGGAGGCCCCTCCAAACTGTCCTAAGCCCTTCATTTGCTTTTCTGTTGTTTTTGCTCTTTCCCAGCTTCCTGAGGGGGAGGGCTAGGGCGGGGGTGGGGGATACTATGGAAATGTTTGGGGGATGGGGTGCAGCACTGCTTCAGCTATTGCAAGGTTTCCTTTAAATTATTTCTCTCTTGCTCTTTCTTCCTCCTTTTCTCCTCCCCCTCTCCTTCTTCTCCTTTCTTTCTCTCCTTAGGAACCATCATGGGACATGAATGTTAGGACCCTGCAGGTTTTTTTCCCTCCATATATTTTATTAATGGTTTTGTCCCTTTTTTCCTTTTCTTCTTTCTTTCTCTTCCCCACCCCACCCCCACCCCCTCCCACCCCCAGTGTGGGAAGGGAAAGAGAAGATGACAGTGAATGAGAAACAAAAACAAATCAAAAAAGGACAAAAGCAAAAAACAAAATAAAAAGAGTAGGCAAACTTTTCCAATGAAAATAGTGCTGTAGTGTATTTGGTAGAAGATCTCCAAAGATCTTTTGGGACTATAACTTCTTTTGTAAATAATGATATGTGGTAATTGTCTGCAGCTACTTCTTTGTGTTACAGTGCCTTTGCACTTGAAGTACATCTACTTAAGTGTTGCTTTTAGCTTTGATCAACTGGACATATTTTAATGTGTTGTATTTTTTGAAATGAAAAAAAATACCCTGTATAATAGATCGATATGTCAGCTATATGAAATCAAAGTGCAGTTTGCTTGAGTTATAGAAACCAGCCTGTCACTGAATGATTCTAGTTCTAGGATTTTATAGAGTTTAACTGTAAAATATTTCCTTTCCTCGGGGTTTGTTTTAAGTGCTTTTATTTAAGTCAACTAAGCGGATTTAACAGTGGACTAGAGGTCATAAGGTACCTCAGTCTGGATTAGTAATTCATTAATAAAATCTATTTAACCCAATATCAGAGTGAATTGAACAATTAATGCCCTTCCGTAATCTTTAGTTTACACTAACATGGTCAGTGTTTTAGATTATTTTCCTAATTCAGAGTACATGACACAGCTTGTAATATATTTTTTCTGCATTGAATTAGCTATTTTTATACATCAAAACATTTAAGTCTGTATTTCTAACTTTTTAATTGAAATACAGTAACTATTTTTTTCTGCCAGTTGAGACGTTTTCTATAAACACACACCAGTAGAGGCCGCCACACACCTCATTTAATAAAGACACGTGAGCCAGGGAATGCTTAAAGGAAGGCTTCAAAGGTGGAATTGAAAGTTCCCAGGCAAGTTTTCTGCAGATTCAAGGCAGCAGAGAAAAACGCCTTCATTACTGTTCCTTTGTTTTACGATCAAAGGTTAAGTTGGACTCCTCCTCAGTTTGCACCTCTTCCAAGGACACAGCCATGGTTTCCCTGTTAAGTTTCTGGAAGCATTACCGGGAAGGGGTGTGTGTGCTATCAAATCACCTTCCCTTTGTCTCCCTCCCTCTAACCAATTCCTACTTCCAGAACCCAAGGAAGTATGCATCCTTTGTCTTCTCCCTCCTCTAGGCATTCATTACTTGAATTTTCACCTTGTCGGCTTCAGCAAGCCTTTCATTGTGGTCTTCTCCTTTCAATGATTCCTAGTAACTGAGTTCAGATCACATTTATTGAAGCCTTGTTAGCCTGTAAATATTTTTTAGATGCAAACATTATCATGGGATTTAAACAAACAGCCCTTCTTTACAACAAAACATAGTTTTGTTTTGTCTATTGTAAATCCTTATGCAACTGGGATGGTGATCTGCATATAAAGTAGTCCAGCTTTTCAATTCCTTATTAAAGCAATTGATGGCCTCTGAAAGAAGCGCACTGTTTCCCTTTCATAAATAGGTTACTGCACATAATAATCCTTTATTATCATGTGGAGATTGAAGTGGATCCTGATAACGTACTTTTAAAGCTCGAAAATGGGTAACAGTATATTGTCTGTCACTGTGAAGGACTCCTGTGCAAGGCTTTCGGTGAGAAACCCAAATTATTTAGATTATGAATTATTGGTGCAAACTAGCCTCCTTTAAAAGACACAATAGACAGTGAGTGTGTGTGTACACATGTAATGGGCATTCAATGGGAAAATGTCTTTGGCACATTAAATTGAGGAATCTCCACAGAGACAAGTGAACACGTCCATTTTGAGGGAGAGATCGCCCTTCCTAGTTCAATCCATTCGCTCCAAGGGGAAAGTGGTGGGTTGAAATGATCCACCAGAGAGTTCCTGTTCCAAGAGCTTACATTTCCCAGAGGAGCAACTAGGGTATTACCCTAGTCGAACTTGGAGATGGCTTGTGACAAGCACCCCATCCTAGAGTAAGGTCCTCAGATATGAAAGCATTTCCAAAAATTCCACTCCAGGTGACGCTCCACTGGTTCGGTGAGAAAGACAGGAGTCCGAGGCAGGTCGTCTGAAAAGTGATTCCGAAGGCACATTTACACATTAGCAGAACTATGGATTGACCGACTGCACCTCAGGGTTTGTTCTCATTCACCCCCAGACATCACTCTGAAGAATCATCTTGTTCAATGGGGGTGGGGTTGGGGGCTATTTCATCTGAAAGAGAGCTGCTGACAGTATTCAATTCCATGATGTTACAGAGGCCTCCTGGAAGAACGCCAATGCATAAGCTATCAAGCTTCACAATTATGGTTGAATTCGACGTCCTCAGGCTTTGAAGATTTAGTCTTTGTTCCCAAAGGTTGTCAGCGAGAGATTGGCTGAATGGAGGCCAGACAATTTCATGTAAATGTCATACCACAACAGAGATTTGGAAGCGCGTTTTTCAATGCACTCACCAACATGCTTTAGGTTGTATTAACTAGTTCTCATCCCCATTGATTATTGTCTTTACTTTATCCATTCAAGTGCTTTGAAACCTATTTTATGTGGCAGTTTTCATTTGTATCTCCTACAGCTGGATCTAACCACCTTCACTTTCTTTTTCCATGCAGCCTGTAATGGCTGTGAACGGCAGCACATCCAAATGGGTACCAGCCAACAACAGACTGCGGCCTGCCCAGGCCCTGTCTGGAACAGTTCTCTAAGTCTGGCAAAAGGTCATTCCTTTGGGGTCCAGCTCCGAGTCAGGTGCTTACACAGTCTCTGGACATACACTCCTGGGTCTGGACACTATTGCTAAGAGTCTTAAGTTGGTTCTGGACTTTGGTCAACCTAGGTGCCTTGTTAGTTCCCTTCAGCAGTTGATGAGTAATGAGATGACCCTTCACATTTTTCGGCTTTACCCTCTAACTCTAACTTGACTTCTTCTTCCTTTCTGCATATTGCCATGTCATCAAGGGTTCAGCACGTTCTGGACCTAACAAAAAGTGTATGAGGAACAACAGAGAGGTTCTGTGGGTTTTCAGGCCCTGGAGATTCTTGTTGACTGGACACATTTTAGAAACATTGAATTGGTTGCTGGAGTGAAGAAAACCTTCCAGACAGCTCTCCCAGTCCGTTCCCTCCATTTATTCATTCAACAAATAGCTATTGAGTGCTTACCTCCTTGGTGCCAGGCTTGATACTGGATGCTGTGGGGGACACAGATTGCCAGAGACAGGCTCTCTGTCCCACCCAAAGGAGTGTAGTGCTAATAAGGGAAGCCCTAACCTGCATGGCATTCACCCTTAGCTAACAGTGAGTGCAGCAGTGCAGGAGGTTGGGTATTTGAAGGAATGTCTGTACTTTACATTAGACAACTGCTAGATCTTCAGTGGGCCAGTGACAGTGTAACCTCCCCTAAACAGTTCTTTGGTGTGATACAGATAAAAGGGGAAGACCCCCCCCCAAAAATCAAAATAAATATCTGCAGAATACGCCTATTGCTATGGCCTGAAGACAACTATATGTTTGTGCTATCTCTAGATCGACATTATATAGATGAGTGCCGGGATTGTAACTACAAACCCGCAAACCTACGTAAAGTCTCTGCAATGTCCATGTCTTAGAGGCAACATTTACTTGGTGATTTCAGTGGCTTCCAAGAAAAGATACTCGTGTGTGTCTTTTACTAATAGCACCATACAACACCTTAACGCCGAGAGGGAGAATTAAGTGCTGTATATAGGTGTACCTTGTTTCCTCACAATGGTTGTGCAAAAAGTCACGTGTAAATTGAAGTTTTAAATTAAATTGTGTTTTAAGCGCATTAGGAAGCTGCTCCTTAGAGGAAACCTGTAGAGCCTTTTGTAAAGCAGAAAACCATTTGAGAATGTCAATGACCACTCTCTCTGTTTTTTACATTGGAGTTTTCCATATCGACTTTGCCTAAAATAGAGCCCACCTGCAGAGTAAGCATGTGCTGTTCCAAGACTGCTTGTGCTACCAGTTTCTTAGTAGCTAAGGGCTTATCCTTGCAGTGGGCTGCAGTTTTGGGTCAACCCAGACAGTGTGTGATGGCGCCATAGCATTCCTGACCCATGCGGGTAGTCCACCCGTCTCAACTAAATTGAACCCAGGACTCCTGTGCGTAGCAGTGTCTCCTCTCTCCGATGTGACTGTGTTTCAGTAGAGGGTTAGAGTGACTCCTATCTTCACCATCTTGAAAGTGCTTAGAGACACGGATTTTATAAGAAATACCTGTTGTGTGTAAACATATGGAATTGCTTGTGTGCTGGGAGTCTTAGCAGTATTTTAGCTTGAACGTTACTTGTACAAATACTGTTAGAATTAGTGGTCAAATGTTGTTCTCAAGTTATTGGAATAAACAGCCAATGAAACAAGCTCTCGTGTAAATTAACTTCTGTGCCAAATAGTGACGATGTTTCCCAAAGTTCCTGTCAGATTTTGAACTGTTAAAAGGCCAACTGAAATCTTGGGAATGTGATCCTGTGATGTTGCACTTTACTGGCCAAACTTTTAAAACAATGTCATTATTTTATGCTTCAGTTAGTTTACAGTTCATAAACAGATATTCACTGAAAAGGAACAGTTAAATTAGTTAGAAAAAAAATCCTTTCGACTCTTAATGGGACCGAATAACAAACAATTACTGGAATCATCCTCTTTGCCTTTGTTCAAATGCTTGTGAA